AAGATAGCTGCTTTTTATTTGCCTTTGTCTCACTTTGAATATATATAATCCACAGGTTACAGACTTTTCCAATAACTACATTTCAACTTGTATTTCATCAGCAAACATTTGAGAGGATGTTATTTCATAGATTAACTATTTTGAATTCATTGTTGATCAAGTTAGAAGTAGTGGGAAATTTTCTTATAGAAAGCAATTCCAAACATAATGAGCAGATGCTTGCCAGCTCTAATCAATAAGCTGTATGCCTTGTCCTTCTCCCTGTATCTGAGAATCATGTACTGCTTTATTGTCCATGTCCTCATGCAACAGACACAAGGTATTACTGGAAAGAAAAAGATTACAGGATCAGATTTGTCCTTTCCCCACTCCAAAAGGCCAAAACATTTCAACAGCTGTATTTTCAAGTAAGATTTATATCCTACAATATCCTTTGAGGTTTTCTTACTAGAATGAAACATACATTTTAGGAGAGTCAATGATTTCACTGGAGCGGGGAGAAATAGGCAAGTCACAGGATTTTCAAAAAGTATAACAATTCAGGTAAGAATATACATTAATAAATGTTGCCCTAAGTTTTATCAGTTAAAAATTTTTTTTTTTAATTTCAAGGGAAGAGGCTTTAACATGAGAAATAAAATATATCCCAGTCCATTATCTACATATTCTTCATCTTGGCCATGAGGTCTTCCAAGCTTTCACCAGAATCTTCCACTGTTACCTCAGTGACAGAATCTTCTTGCTATTGACAAATAAGGGAAATACAGTGAAAAGAGAACCATATAGAATTCTTGATGCTTAGGAATATATAATCAGTAAGTTTTGACCGTGCTCAACAGGGTTATAAAGTAAATTTTCTTTAACAACTGTCTTCTAATTTTTAGAAGACAAAGTCTTTTACATTCCCCACCAGTCTTTTGATTTACAAGGCAGTAATTTCAATATTCTTGACAGCTCTAGTTTTTTTAAACGACATTGTAGCTAAAACTACCAATAAACAAAAATGAGATCTTCATGTAATCAAAATCTATTATACTTGGTTCATTAATGAGTGAACAAAACCATTTTATTCTATGTTTTAAAAGTCTAAAATAAGCTATAAATATTTGCATATTAACACTGAATACCTCTGTCTCACATCTTAATGCCTATAGCATAAAATATCTTAAAACAGGAAATACTTCACTGGCATTACAAATTAGAATGAAGATGAAGAAAAATATTTTATATGATATTTACATATGGGTAAATCGTATTTTTGAAGTACCTTTTTTGGAATTGTGTATGCCACTGTAATTCCTTCAGGTAAGTCTGGAACTGGACCTGAAGAATTTTTCAATTCCTCTTCTGAAACCTCAGATACCAGCTCAATACCTGTAAATTTGATCCTGTATCAGTTTTTAAGGAATTTAATAAGCAATAATTATTCAATTTGTATAATCTTATTAGATTGGCCACCATAAAAAGTTTTGTTTTATGCTGCCATTTCAATTTATAAAAGAACACCTACCCCAGTCATTATCTTCATGGATTATCTCTTCCTCTTCTTGCATAACCTCTTGTTTAGGCAGTGCTGCTACCTTTTTCTGTAGAAATCAAACAGCATCAAAGTGTTCTTACTCATTCTCAGTTCTCTAAAGCATTAATCAAGAATTTTCCTTTATGACTAATATATAGGACATTACAAGCCTTAATCAAGAATTCAGACAGGCTTTTTATCTTACCAAAAGCAAGAAAGAACATTCATTTTTGAAGTATGGTGAATAAATTAACCATTTATCTTGTATTCCAAATCTGTTTAAGTTATTTATTGTCCTATGCAATATGATCCCTCATGCATTCTAACAGATTGCCATATACCTTATATTCTTCCTGCTGCTTCCTGCAGTTTCTGTCATCACACTGGGGATTTGGCTTCATGGACATAGTAGGAAAAAAATCCTGCATTGCATTGTATCCAAGGTAAAAACTAACAGTACCAAAATTTAACAGAAACC